CACACACACACACACACTGGGAAGAGTTATTGGGTGGAACTCTGGAAAGATGTCAAAGTCCTGAACCTCCTAAGTCCACAGCCTAGTCCACTGCCTAGAACACACACACCAAAACTTGGTTCAACATGCCACTTTCCGAAAGCCGCTTGGAGCAGAAAGGCCACCACCGACTCCTTTGTCGACAGAAAGGTCGGTCCAAACCATCCATAGGGTGGGGGAATTCTGTGATGTCACGGATGTGCGTGGGATGCATGGACCGGATGGCAAGGGGTGCCAGGAAGAGGTGGCAGGAAGTCTTTTGTTTTTAAAGGTTGGATTCCATGAAATTCCATGCTTTCAAAACTGCAGGAGATATCCGAGATCTGCAATTTGTGATTATGCCATGTGTCTTGTGCCCAATAAGAACACATCACATCAGATCTTACCTATATAGGTTTAACTTACAGTAGGATCATAAAAGCCCCGCAAGAATCAGAAACAACACCATTAGCAGCGCATACGAAGCCACTGTAAGATAAGAAAACATATGCATCTGACCATGAGGGCATTGTCCTGAGACTTTCTATCATCCATTGGTTGTGGTCACCTCTGTTCTGCATCATCCATCCCACGCCGCATGTTCAAATGCGCCACTCAGGTCCCACACCTCCATAGGGAGAGGCTCCATACCTCGCGAACCGAACGGTCCGGCAGACTCGCACCCGTCGACACGGTCTACGTGGCTCAAAGAAAAACCGCTCGCTCCCAACTAAGTCAGAGTCCAAATCGAGATCCGTTGACCTGTCAAACGTGATCTTCTGTTGACCGATCTGCACTCCATGGTTCCCACAGAAGAGCTCAGCAGCCATACAGAGCTCTACGCATGGCCACCAAGCTCTGCCAAACCACCCAAGCTCGGCCCATCCATCCCCACTCCAAACCACTCCGCCACTCCCATACTCTCTCTCTCTCCCTCTCGCTGTGGGGTGAAAGAACAAACAAAAGTCGCAGGTGTGCAGCTCCCATGCGAAATGTTCATATAGAGAGCGGCACGCCATGGGGCCTGTGTTTGGGTTTTCCATACATTTATGATACTGCAAAAATGTTTTCCAAGATAAAGAAAACACACATGAAGCTGTTATAGAAAGCTTTTCAATATAGAAGTCAGCATTCCCAAATATCTAGAGGAAAGCTTCTGAAAAAAAGAAACAAAAACTCTTTAGATATAGAGAAACTATCCAACAAATTTAGAGGAAACCGTTTGACATATAAAGCTTGCATATATATATATATAGTTTTAATTGGAAAAAGTTATCATTCACATAGATCTAGAGGACACTATTGAAATGACAGCTCTATATAAGGCTCGTCAACTATAGAATCTATAAATTCCCAGAATTTTGGAGGAAAATTGTTGAAAGAAAGGCTCTTATATGTGATTTTTAAATATAGAACTGATTATTCCTAGAGAATACGTTTAAAAAATCTAGCTATCTACTCCACAACAGTGTTTTGACCTAGCTCCCAGAACTCCCAGGGCAAGAAAACACTGTAAAACAAAGGGTTTTTGCAGCAGTTGTTTTCTTAAGCTCTTTTAGGTTGTAGCCTGTCCTCCATATCGGATTCAATTGGACTTGAATTAGGATTGCATTAGAAATTAAGCAAAATTGAATTAGAAGTAAATTTGCACCAAATTAGAATTCAAATATAGAACTAAAACTAGAACTATATTATAATCAATTTAGAATTAGACTTGAATTAGAACTGAATTTAAGTTATATTATATAGAAGTGAGTTAGAATTATTAGGATCGAACTAGAATTAAATTAGGCTTGAATTACAGTTTAATTTGAATTAGGTTAAAATGACATATAACTAAATTTGAATTGAGTGTGAAGTGAATTAGACATTGAATTAAACACGAATCAAACATAATCAAATTTCAACTAAAATAAAATCAAATCAGACGTAAAATAGAAACAAATTAGAATTACATTGGGGTTGAAATAGAATAGTTAGAACTAAATCAGATTTGAATATGAATTTAATTAACAGAACATTGAACTAGAAATAAATCACAACTACAGCTTCCACATGTTCACTACAGTTTCATATGTCAAGCTGCTTGGAAATGTAACAGCACTGATACCAACCAGAAGTCAATGCACACAGACTTGTACATAGAGATTTGGACAAGGACAAAGGGAGAGTTGGGCTCAGACGCTTTCAATTGTAAGAAGAAAGTACAAATGACTTTAGGTGAGACTAAAGGAAAACGAGATAGGAGCAGCACAGATTGTCTAGAAAGAAACATGCACAAAAAAACTAAGTTGTTCCACCAAAAATATCTAAACACCATGGGAAAACAAAAATGAATCTGGGGAAGTCTTGGGGAAGGGGGGGTCTGCCAAAAGTCTCTGAGAATTGGATTTATTGGTTTTATTGTTTTTTGGTGTTTTCCCAAGGATTCTTTTAGAACTGTTCTTTATTTTGTGTGATTTCTATTGTATTTTGTGTAATTATCTAAAATTTAAGTGCAATTCCATACAACTTAAGTCTAGATACAGGTGTCCAACACGCAGGCCCCATGGCGTGCCCTTCTGGCGCTCTCTAACTTAATGTCACAAATCCATCAAGAACATGTCCATCCTCGGCTCATCCAAGAGACATGACCTGCTTGCCAACACCTCGGCTCCCCACGAGGTCTTCTACACCGAGCCACGGCTGCACAGGCGACTGCATCTGCATGGGAGCGCTGGAGACCTCCACACACGGTGAGAGCGCTGGTGGTTGAGTTGTCATAGAAGTAAATCAAATTTGGTGTTTTGTTGGTGGGTGGTGTTGTGTCGTTCAGGGAAAGTTATAGTTGATATCTAGTTTAGTTTCTTTTTGTTTGGAGAGTTGTATTGATGAAGTCCTTCAGGGATCAACCTCCAAGCAGTGGTGTGTCTTCGTGTTCTCTTCGTGTCATTGTCTGTTCTCGAACCACGAAACAACATCCAACAAATTTACATCTCACAGGTGAGCATCAATTCCTCGATAGATGCTGAACTGCTGGGTACTCGGGGCATCGGTTTCGAAGCTCACACTCGTCTATGTCTTGAGACCTCTTAAAGCCTAAAGAAATCAATTGGTGGTCAGGCTAGGTATGGATCCACAAGGTCAAGGTTCTGGGAAAGTGGACGATCTGGTCTGGAATTGTTGGTAGACAGCAGAAGTAGCCATTCACCGCTTCACGAAGCGACGCGAAGCAGACCGTGCTGCTTCGTGCAACAGAAGCCCCAAGGCATCCACCAGTTCGATCAAACATGTTCAAACAGACCCACACGCGACCCATGGGACTGCCATAGGACTGCCGATCAGGGCAGGGGTGGTGTGTTTGGGGGGGGTCAATTGATCGGCAGTCCTATTCCAGTCCCATGGAGTGTATGATGGACTGCCCTGATGAATCTGTCTTTTTCTTTTCCGTCTACAAAGCCTCCACTGTGGGAGGTGCATGGCTGGGTCCCGGGATCCTGCCGAACTCCGCACATCCGCGACCTGCTGATACTCCGAGGGTGGAATGCCGTAGTGCTGGGTCCGGCTTCCATCCTCGGTCGCATCGACCCATCGACCAACCAAGTCTCGGCGACGTCTGGGGCGACGACGGGGCGAAGAAAGGACAACGAAGCCGCTGCAAGGCCCCCTTTCTTTGCTGACAACCTATTCATGATGATCATGGGGGAAATCATGGTGGTTTCTGGCCACTGAACCGCTGTGACATGGGTGTGGTTTCTTCCAACATCCGAGCGTCTGGGTTCTGAATGAAGAAGTAGTGCGGCTGCATCATCGGCTGAGCCTCGGCCAATCAGAGCCTGGTGCCCCGGGTGAGGAGACCTGCACACTGGAAGTGACGGCGGACATCTACAGCAACATCTCAGGCACCAAAGCAAACATCAAATCAACCCTGGAAGCATTTGGTTCATCTTGGTTCAGGCCACATGAAAGATTCAACGCAAAAAGAGAACAACATCTGGGAGAACACCCACGAAGGGAAAAAAAAAAGGACAGTTCGTGCTCGATTTGCGTGATGGGTTGACCAGTTCCCTACACCAAACAATTCCTTGCGCAGTGAAAGACCTCATTCTACAGGAGTTGGTCATACAAAAAACACGAATGAAGTAAAGACACCAGGTTTTACTGGGTCAGACTGGACCTAAAGAGAATTGAATACGTTGAATACTTTGTCCTTTTGCAGCTCTTTTACCCCTGTTCATCCAGGTCGCCATGGCGAGTGACTCCGGTTCTTCTTCTCGTCGAGTTTTCGGCAGCTCGTTTTGGTGCACGCTGAGCCCAAATGGCGATTGGGCACGCCAACAGGCGATTGGGATGATGTTTGTACGCTTCCACGACACATGGTCATAGTATAAATATTATACCCGAAAATTAAGTAAAGTGATAAGTATATTATATGTATCATGTGTACACCTCACTGTTTGTCAAAACCCTCGGGGTCTTCAACATGAGTCTGAATGATTACTCTTTAAAGACTAGTGACTAGTACGTTTACATTTTGGACATGGCCTGGAAAAAAAATACACTGCTCTTCTTTCAGGAACTAACCACTCAAGCAAACTTGAGAGGGAGGATCTGAACAAAGCTGCAATACATTTCACGGGGCTTAGGTGCAAGTTCAATTTCTGCATTGAAAACAAATCCAACAACTATCATGATATCCCTCTTGCAACCCAATAGATATAGGATATAGGGACGGCCCACACAAATTTGTCGAAATTTCTCTGGCGAATGCGGACCCCTTCTCAGCCGCCGCAAGTGTCGATGCTGCGTATATACAGTGACACACTGCCATGACACACTGATATCCCGTCACAGTCGGCAAGAACACTACAAGCTGGATTGATTGGACTTAACCCGACCGATGGATTGTCACATGGACGACCACCAACGACCAGCGGCTACCCACCGACCTCCCCCCGCCACCGACCTCCCACGCCACACGCCACACGTCGCGAGTGAAGCACCTCAATGACTTCAATAAGACCTTCCCGCTCAGCTCAGAGGCCTACCGATTTGGTCGTCCAGCAGCAGTTTGGAGTCTGGAGCGAATTGCCAGCAAAACAGGAAGGACTGGTCTTACCTCATGCAACTAAATCCCCTGGCGTGAGAACGCAAGCAAACCCACTCTAACGCAATTATAATGCAATTAAAGGCTTGAGCCTAATCCTGTCACTTTGATCCCAAATCACATAGCTTTTCATTTGGACTGGGAATTCCAAGTTCATGTGACTTGGAAAGACTGCAAATCCCAGGTCCAATGTTGACGCCTACCTGGGCCGACCTTTGCAATGAACCCCCATCCAAGTATGGCTCAACATCTTCAAGCATTAGAACTCGATGGGACTGAAATACCATGGAATACGCCCCGTTCACCACCCCTGGCCCCATCCGCCAAGTCTTCCGCGCACATGGAGTCTTCGGGTCCCTTTAATCCCTTCCAAACTCTTCCAACTTCTTGGACTCCTCCCGCGCTTTTCACTGCCTGGGCGCTCAGCGCACGCCCGGCCGAGGCAAAGACCTCCGGGTGCCAAGGCCTCGGGCGTGACCGTCCAGTCTTGGTCCAGACGGGCGTGACCGCTTGACCACGGTCCGAGCGGTCAACCTGTTTTTGGGACTCTGGGAGACTTCGCCTATAGGTTGTTCGCGTGCGGAGCCCACTGACTAAATCCAAGAGTAGGGTTAGGGTGTGCTTTTATAGTTCATGTGTTCATCCATGTTCATCCATGTTCATCCCTCATTCACCACCGTTTCTTCACTCCCTTTCGGTGGGAATTGGCAAAAGTGCCTGGCACAAGCTCGCCACGGTCCTTTCGCTCACAATCTGCGGATACACCTCAAACACCTACGTCTCGTAGTGAGGACCCCCGCGCTTCGAGTGCAGGGTCTGGCAGTGAGTGTCCACGGCGACCTCTGTGTGCGTGCGGTTGGCCATCTGCACCAGAGTCTTCCCCATTAAAGCACAAAACCCAGAGGCGACAACATGGAATGTGGAAAAAATAGACAGTAAAAACATGTAAAAACTCTAAACCCAGAGTTAAACCCTGAACCCTACAGTAACAATACAAGTGTGGAAAAGATTGAATTCTTGCCGCGCCGCATGGCTTTCAACCAATTGGACCAGGTTTGGATCCTCACTGGGCCCTTTGGCAATGTAACCTTGTACTTCTTATCTCATGTCCCAATCTTGAATGACACCTCTACCTGAAGGTGCAGGCCAGCAAGGACGTCTGGAAGTACTTGAACGTGACGCATGCGCGCTGTTTTGGGGGGGGCGAAACCGGCGATCGGGCTTCAAGCGCCTGTTTGAGCAGGTCCTCCTTAACCATCATTGGACCCTCCGGACTGGAGGGAGGGTCCACCCTGCAGACCTCGCCAGGTTTGGACTCCTTCACCCGTTCTCTTCACTGAAGTTCTTCTTGATTCTCAGGAAAATCGATGCTCTGACCTTCGCCGACCTTCGCCCCTCCTCCCCCTCCTCATCACTTCATCTTCACTCCACGCAACCCAACCAGCACCGTCGAAACGACGGACGCGCCAAGCGGCAGCAGAAGACCGCGATCGCCAGCAGCGCCTCCGAGAGCTCCTCCGGTGCTGCGGTGAACCTCGGTGGCAGACGGTGGCGAGGAACACGCAGGGATGAACAATATGGATGTGGGTTTTTACATGTCTTTACGGTTTATGTCTTAAAGAATCATGTGTGTGTGTGTGTGTGTTTTCTTGTGGTGGAGATGAATTGTCATGGTATGAAGTCATTAGGTGTCATTAGGTTGTAATCCAAGGTCAATGACAAACTTGGCCTGATCGGATCTTAATTGAGTCACGAAAAAGAAACATGAAAAAGCACATGAGTCTCACCAGTGTTTTGTTTGATCGGTACCCATGCCTGAACAGAAGTTTCGATTTGTTTCGATTTGGGGAGACATGGGGAGACACCCAAAACACGATCAACAAAATCTAGACTGTTCTTTGTATATGAGAGTAGCAAGTTGAAGGAACGACTGGTGATGGGCGGGCAAGTCCTATCTGACGGTTGGCCAGCCCAGCTTAACAACTCCAAAACATAAACATCATGCTGAGAACAAAGAAACTCTTCCAGACCTGGGTTCCAACGCTCCAAAATAGCCAAGTGACATCTCTGCCTGAACATGCTCGCCCAAGAGCTTGAAGACAGCTCGTTCATCCACCTCCTCGGTCGGCGTCCGTTCCGTTTTTTCCACCGTCACGACCGTGCCGGAATGCTCCGGACAAAACGATACTCAAACCATTCATGGACCGAATAGTTACATGACCCCAATGCAAGTAATTCCGGTACGGCCTACCACCTATAAAACATCCCTCAAAACGCTTGAACAAGCTGTCCCAAGTGGTCACCATCCGCTGGTCGCAGCGAAACAAAGACCGCCCAAAACCGCGCGACCACTGAAGTGGCCGACTCCGAGCCGTTTCTGGCCGTTTCCTCCGAGCTTTGTCTACCTTTGTCCACCTGTTTCGTGGGGTGTCCCCAAACAGATCCCCAAAGGCTGCAGCGAACCAATAGACACGTGACATCACGTGCCGAGCCAACGGCCATTCACGGCGACCCGAAGGGCCCGACACACGACCGACTCCGCTGGGACCCGCCATCGACTCCGGGCTGGTGTGAAGAGTAGAGAGGAAGCCCCGAACGGAACGGTGGTTCTTTTGTCACCGAAAAGGGGGCCCCAAATCGGAGGTGTTGTTTTCGAACCAGAGTCCACCAAAGAACGTGAAAAGTGATCAAACATCCCTTCCCAATCCAAGCACCCTATACTTAATCAAATAATATCAAACAAGTCTTCCCCAGGAGTCACAAAAGGGGTGCCGATTAAAGTTTATATTCTTGTCTTACCTGGTTTCTTGTCCGTACCCTCCCCAGCCCCACAATCTGCCGAAGGTCTGGTGCCAATCGACCCAGGTGGCGAGTAATGGCCAGGGTCCTGGAGCACCGTCTCGGCGCCGCGGTCTCGACCGAAGCAGCAAGAGGGGTGACTGCTTGCGCGGCAAAACACTGGGTGACCCACACCGCGCAAGTCAGAGATCGTGAAAACCACCCGGGCACCCATGAAAGCCCTGAAACACCGCGTGAAGCACCAACCAAACATCTAACCAAGCAGCAGGTGCGAGCTTGATTCAGACCTTGGTTTTTCTTCATGCGCATCATTATATATACATGTATCATACATGTACTATTTAGATGCTCCATAATGCTCCTGAAAAGCTAAGAGCCTTCACTTCTCCGGCGCGACACCCATGTCTTCTCTGCACTGGTTGGACCATGGCGGAACCGGACCCATCCTGGCGTCGCTTTCGATCTACGTGCAGTCCCACTGGTCAGACCTCGGAGGTGACTCTAGTTCAGAAGTGAAGCTCGTTGACGTGTGTGTGTGTGTGAAGGCCCAAAACCGGAGATACCTTCCATAAGTGCTATAGTAAAGTATAAGTGCTGGGAGAATGAATGTCAACACATCAACATCGATCAACATCACCTGTACATGGCGAAAATTTGAGAAGAGTAACCCCTTTCCAAATGTGACCCCTTTACCACATCTTTGCAGTACTGATCAAGTGCCAAAAACGGTGTCCACATGATAAGACATTCCACATACTCGGTGATGTCAAAAGAAACACACTCTCTCACACACACATCCTCACGCTGCAAAGCTTTTTTGCTCCAGTCATGCTTTCCTTTTCTCAGGTATTGATCGATCTCCGCCATGTGTCGACATATGTCGCGTCGACCCGACGGAGGGTTTGCTACAACTGGTCGTTGTGGCACTCTTTACCAAGCAAAACTGCAGCACGACGGAGAGGTTTTCAGAGGGGTGGCGAAGTGAACGAAGTGAACGGAGTGAACTTCTTGTACATAAACATCGATGATGTTGAAAGTAAATAAGCATCTTAGACTCTTGTCCATCCAAAAGAATCCTTTGGTTGGAGGCCATCGCTATTAAGTTGGTAGCAAACTGGACATGATATCTTCGTTCTACATGGTGCAGGCCTGGATCTAGGATGATTTAGGAATGTTCTCACTGAAAAATGAGAACGAAGCCCGGCAGTCGCCGGGTTTCGTACAGATTCGAAAGGATGTGGTTGTGAACCCCAACGGATTCCGTGGAAGAAGAAGCTTCTGAGAGATACAGTGCTCCTATGTTCTTTCATCTCTTCATGTTTTAGTATAGGGAAACCTATCCCTTAACAATGTCCTCAACACCAACCGACGCTGCTACCTCTCCACGAGCCGCCCTCGACGAGCAAATGGTCGAGGAGCAAATCGGGCCGGTCTGGCGATACCAAACGGTCTCCAACATATGTTGAGATTTTAGGTTGGAGACCATCACTATCATTCTTACTTCTCATTCTGTTTGCATCCAACATAGGATTATCTATCTATTTGGAGGTCTGTATATTACCATTTATATAGGTTCTTCACTTGGGGGTCTATGAATCAATCAACCAACAGCAAAAGTGAGCACCTGCTTTTTCTTTATCCGATTTATCCCAGAGGTTCTCAACCACTATCACGTCACCATGCCAAGCTCCTTCTGTGAATGCCCTGTCGGGATCCTGTGAATATATTTGGGCCCTGTCGGGATCTTTGAGGTCGAACATTGGACCCATTCCTTGGGTCATCTTGGGTCAATCTCTTACCAGTTCAGTGACAATGGATGATGATGGTGACCCAAACCATTCCAATCATGTTCACTCCAAGTCCTGGCCGCGAGCCCAAGATGCGCATCGTGGCTTTACCCTTTGGCTTCGCATCAGAGATTTTCTGATGTGCACCATTGCGTCCTGAAGTCTTTTTTCTACAACATGTCCTAGGACATGTGTGGAACAAACACAAGCAACATATTCACGTTGTTGATACTGACCTCCATCGTCTTGCGCATCCTTCTTAATCTTCTCGACATGGTCATACAACAACATTGCAACAGCCCAAAAAAGTGTCAAACATGGTCAAACACAATGAATCACAACATCATTCAGTTTGAGAGGTACACCCGCTGCATGGCGGCTGCCATGCAGCCTCCATGCCTCCGCCAGATCGGCCTCCCCCGGGCTGGGCCGCCGTTTGCGAGCCCCACCTTCGTCGTGCCGTTGTCGAAGATCCAACACGAAAACCAGCGGTCGAGGGGCGGCCGGTGGGTCCAGAATTCCATTGGTCGAGGAATTGGGGTCTGAACGGGCCATTCATTAGATTTGTTGCGTGCTTCTGGTCCAATCAGAACTAAGGTCATGGTTGGGTTGGAAGATGTTCTAGATATCTGTTCGACCCTAAATCTTGGGGAATACGTCCAAGACGAATCCGCCCATGTCACCATCGAGTTGCGTAACCAAACCTCTCAACCTGAAGCTGATCATATCGTATACGTACAGTCCCCTGGGCTCCAACTACCTCTTGAGAAGATGGTTAAGGTGGGTTTGGGGGGTCTAACCACCTTCTAAGGATATGGTTGGAGCCCTACAGGGAGTATAGCTTGAAAGTGGAGGCCATGAATTCCGACCTCAAAAGATGCTGGGAATCCGCCGTAACAAATCACGAGAACATTGATTTTGGGTTGGTCTCTCGATATCTCCTGGCCGCCCCCCTCCGTTTTCGGTTCGGTGCTTGGAGTGGGTTTTGGGGAGCCCACCGAACCAAAAGCCGTTCGATGGGCCTTAGAAACACGCTCAACAAAAAGTCTAATAGCTCACTCTTCGATACCATCTATAGCCGTTTCACTCGATTTTTGGGGTCTAACTCTTGGATCCACAATCCCCGAGTAAGACCCCAAAGCCTGACCATCGGCGATCATAAAGCGTCGTGTCGGCTTGGGGTCTAACTCAAAGCCCGAGATGGTCCTTCCGTGCGCGCGACGAATCGATCCTTTTAGACGAGAAGAAGCACTCCGGTATATCTCCCATGACAAGTAACAGTGGATGTTCGCTTTGGTAAACGGCAGGTAATCGGACAAGGCCCCAAATGGTAATATTTTGTGCTTTAAAAGTGTTTTTTTGTGTTGTTGCATGGTGTACGTGAACCTTCAAACGAGCATCATTGAGTCATGATCTCAAACATGCACATAAGGAGCCAAGCCTTCTCAACAAGCATCTTCTGGTCATTCTGTTTCGGGATGCTGTTCCAGTCTTACGCATCAGATCTTCTAGACGTCGTGCGCTCGGGCGCAGCTGGGGCCTGCCATCTTTGAGTGCTGCAGATTTAGGGCTCTAGAGAATGTCGGATCAAAACACCATCATAGTTCCTCCCAGAAGCTGATTGAACCCTGCTTTGGAGCCAAAACATGGTCTTTTCCTATCAAAACGAAGGTCAACTGGCTTTGAGGCTTATCAATATAATATGGTAACTGGAATTCACCGGCTGATTTCAGTTTTGCCCTTTGTTTTGCAGTAGGTATGTCAGGAGAACCCTATGACCCCAACTCTCTATCATTATATCAATCATAATAACCTAGCTGTTTAGTTGAACCTGAAAAAAAAAAGTGATATCTTTTTTTTACTTTGAGCCAGTATGGTAGGTAAAATAGGTAAATATATTTATTATATATATATATAAGAATTTCTGTGACAATGACAGGACAATGACAATCAACAAGGACAATGACAAATGGCTACGGGGCTAAATGCGGGCAGGCTCACAAAGTGACCCAGACCTGGGAGTTGAGCATCAAACAAGAAAACACTGCAGAAAAAAGCTCTGACACTGAGGAGTCAACAAAGGCAGAAAAATCATCCAAGTCCTGGAGATCAATTGAATCAAGTCAATGAATATCAATGACATGACCAATGAACAATGGACATTGACAAACAACCAAAGCAAACAGTGAACGAGAACAGTGACAGTGACTGCGCAAACACACGGACGCACATATTTTATACTCATCACCATCACTATCACTCATCTGGCAGCTGCGAAAGCTCGTGTCCTGAGTTAGCATTGAATGAAACAATATGACAATGACAATGACAAAGTCGTGAACAAAAAGACTGACAAAGAAAGTAGTAATGGTGGCAAGGATCCAATGCCAACCACCATCCAAGCATTGGGGTTCCGGAAGCGCTGCGTCCCACCAAGCATCGTGTTGTGCACCACCTTGTACCTCAGTCATTTGTCATGACTCTAAGTCGGAATGAATGAAGCATTTAAAACATTCAGTCAATTACTTGACAATGAATCAAAATTCCACACACTTGCAAGTCCAAGTGGCAGCATCCTCAAGCCCCTGTACGGAACTCTGAGGTGCATTCTGAAGAAGTACACCTGCACCCGCTCGATGATGCCAGCATCGGTGAGGATCTCTGCCCTGAGTCAGCTCGACTTTCGCTTCAAATCATTTGATCTTGCATGAACTTGCCATTAACCCACATTAACCGGAATCAAGAAACGATTCAGAATCAACCAAGGCTCAAAACAGGATCCGCGTCCTCAAGGATGCTCTCGTCGTCGACCCAATGGACAAGCTGGCCCGGCTCCTCGTCCAACTCTGGCTCCTCAACCTCAATGGGCTGAGGTTCTTGGTCGCCATCTGGGCCTGGGCCATCATCCGAAATAGTGCCGCCATCAATTCTGACGATGGGGGTACGGGGCGCAAAGTCATAGTACCTTGCACGTATGATTCAAACAACCATATCAAATGACAATGACTGCAATGGCAACGCAGCACAATGGCAATGACATGCAATGACGTTGAATCAAAGGCAATGCAATGACATTGGCAAAAGTTAAAGCAGGCAAAAGGCAATCGATCACCATGGAGCTCGGTCCAAATGTCCCATGCTTGGACCATGACATCGAAGAAGTCCTCAGGGCAATGCCGCCCCCAATCTTCCGCCAGCTTCAGCTGGAAGGTGTAGCGCCTGAGTCATTGTTGAATCAACAAAGGGAAAGCTGTCAGAGTTGTCCATTGCCATTGACAGTGACATCCTTGCGCCCAAGGTGCTCTGGGGGGTC